GTGTTGACCCAGGGCCTGGGAGCGCCACCATACGGGTTTGCTCGGTGCGCCCCGGGGCTCGTGTCTTTCGGGGGTTCCGACAGGGGGGCGAGCGGCACGCAGCAAGGGAGGGGGGGGGGCGGTGCTGCGAGAAATGGAGACCGCACACAGGGGCGAGCCCGGCCGAGGGCGCTGCCGCACGAAGGCGCCACCGGCTTGCTCACAAAGAAAGCCCATCCAACGGAATGTTGACGCCTGACCGCGTCACCCCGCCGGCGGTGCCATCGCAAATCGCTTTTCCGAAGAAAGGACGAACCACATCGATATTGCACGCGCCCCCTGACGCGATATGGTGACCCGGGCCCGGCTGGGCTCGCCCAGCATTGGCCACGCCTCCCCGGGAGGGAATGACGCGACCGATCGCCTCTCCGCCGCCGACCGGATTGTGCTTCTCCGAGCGGTGATTGGTCCCCCCCCCCCCCGCCCCTGGCGCCTCGACTCCCGAGAGCAGGCCCCCGTCGGCTGGCGGGATTTCCGTGCCCCTTGGGCACGTCTGTGGGAGCCTGCCAGCAAGCGCGCAGGTAGGCACACGGCGGGGCCAGGCCACAGCACGACGCGTTGCCGGCGTGTAGCCGGCCCACGACCTCTCTTCGCTTGGTGCCCGAGATTCTCCTCAGGGCGCTGCCTTTCGGGCGGGGCCTCGCCGGGTCAGCGTCTCCGTGTACAGGCTGCCCGGCCGCCACATGGAAGGCGCTGTCTGCCCATCGGCCGAGTGTCTGTGCGTGGCCGTGTGTGGCCGTGTGTGTGGCCGTGTGTGTGGCCGTGTGTGTGGCCGTGTGTGTGGCTGTGTGTGGCTGTGTGTGCCCTGGCGGAAGGAGTTACCTCCATGTGCGTAATTCGTGTGTCGATCGGACGCCGACGCCTAACGGCAAGCCAGCGCCCAAGCAGATGCTGCGGCCGGGCCCTCGGCTTTATCCCGCCCCTCGAGGGGTGCCCCCAGGGGCCCTGCATCATGCCCGTGCGCGCGGGTGTCCCTCCTCCGGCACCCGGGGCCGGCGTCATGGTGCTGGTCGAGAACGAGGGGGCTTTTTCTCCCCCCCCCCCCCCTCCCTCCCCGAGAACTGGGGATCCACCACCGCGGGGGACCCGGTCAAAAGACGGGCTCCGGCCATGGGACAGAAGTCCTCTGTGCAGATCCGGCACACGCACACAGCAGACGCCCCCTCCGCGCTGGAGGGTGCCATCAGGGTCCTCTTCGCCCTTCGGCGCACGGTCATGGCACGCGTTCTTCGGGCCGGTGCCCTGGGCCGCGTGCTCGGCCCCAGTGCACCGCAGGGTATTGCAAGGTCGCTCCTGCCTCCAAGTCCCTGGTCATTATTCCTTCTGATGCCCGGCCTGCCGCCCTCCCCCGCGGATGATGACGCGACATGCTTCGCCGGCCCGGGGGGGGGGGGGGACCCTTTCATCCCGATGAGAGGAAAAAGGAGCCAGGGACGGGGCACGCCTGCCGGCCCGCCCCGAAGCCGCGGGCTTCTCGGTGGCCCTCGGTCCCCCCCGGGCCGGGGCCGCCGCCCACGAGCCATGTAAGTTCCCTCCTGGCTGACCGCAGGGACAGGGGTGCTTGCTGGCTCGAACCACCCTCCGAGGGCGCGCCCTGCCCCCCCGGCGGGAAAGTCCCATTGGCGGCGGGTGTGTACTTCCCAGGCCCCCGTGGTGGACTCCCAATTATCTCGGTGAATGACCCGGCGGCACCGGCGCCAGAGGGCACCCTGGCCGCCACCGGCAGGGGGGGGGGGGGGGGGGGGGAGGAGCAGCCACACGGCCCCCGTTGGAGGACTTGCGGAAATGCTGAAGCGCCGGCCACCCGGCCGAACAATAGCATTCGCCGGCCGGTGGATATAGCCTGGTCGCCAGACGGCGCAGACGATTCCCCTCCGCGGCACCCCCCCCCCCCCCACCCGTGGGGGAGCCGGGACACGCTGGTCCGGAGCACATTGGAAGTGGCACTGGCAGTGGCCATGGGTCTGTCCCGGGGGGCCCAGCCCGGCAGCCAAGACGCCGGGATGCTCATGCTCGCCGGTGCGCCTGCCTGGGCCCCGCGCCTCCCCTCTCGGCATCGGAGCACGGGCACACATGCACCGAGCGGGTGTCTCTTCCCTGTGTGCATAGTGCCTCGGCGCCGGGCGGTCGCCTGGTTCCTACGCGCTCCTGCCTCATCATGCACGCACACCCATGCGCTTGCCCACTTGCGACCCCGGAGCCCGCGCGCCCGGGGGCTCTCACCGGCGGCAAGTCCCGAGGCAAAGGAGGTAGCCTCGGGCAGGCTCCGGGCCGCCCGCTCGGGCAGAGTCGGATGCTTCTCACCCTCGGCGGCACATGCGCGTCCATGTGCCCCCGCCCCCGCGCGGCCCCATGTGTCGGGAACGATCGACACGTACGCATGCATGCACGCACGCACGAGCGCCGCAGGGTACGGGGGAGCAAAAAGCCGGCAGAATACCGCGTGAACGCCGGAAGTGGGCCAGGCCCCGCCCCCCTCGGGGGCCCGGGTCGCCGTTCGTCCAGCGCCCCCGGCTCCGCGGACCGGCCCCGAGCGTCTGGCAACGCGTGGCCCGCGCCGGGCACATGCGCCTGGCAATACTTCTTTGACCCGCCCCCGGACGGGGTATCGCGTCAGGGCGCCCCGGTGGCCCTGCCACGGGTTTGTGTGTCCCTCGTCATCGGGAACGTTCCCGGTACATGCCCTCACGACAAGGGGGGGGGGGGGGGGGGGGGGACGCGCGGGCGCGCCGACCGGCGCGGGGTCATGCGCCCCAGGGCGGCTCTTCTTGGTGTGTGAACGCACATCGGTCTGTGGGTGTGCGCGCGCGCGCGTGCCCGCATGCATCAAGAGATCGACGAGGCCCGCTCGCCGGGAGTGCGGGGCACGTCGGCCGGGGGGCCCCGCGCCACCGCCTCGGTATCAAATGCACGTCCCTCCTGACAGGGGGTGCTTTCTTTCGGCCACGCCCCCCGGGAGCATGGGTCTGGCCACCGGCCAGCGACCCGGAAAAAAACCCTGCCGAGTGTGCGAGTGATAGGTTGCGCGAAGGTGTGCCCCTTGGTTCTGTCCCGCGCGGAGGCACGCGCACGCGCGAGATCCTCGCGGCCTGCCCCCCCCCCTTCCTCCTTCCCCCGGAAACGGTTGTCGCGGCCACCGTCCCCAGGCAGCCGGCCACCTTGCCCTGCGTTGCCTCCACGCGGGGGCCGATCACTGCCCCACGGTCTCCGGCGGCGTGTCCGGTCCGGGCGTCCACCCCCCCGCCCCCGCCCCTCGTTGGCGTCCGCGCACCAGCCTGCGGTGTTTGCCGGCCACAAATGAAGAACGCCAGGACTGGATTAAACCATGCCGTGCGCGAGAAGGCCGCCGACGGTGTAGGTTCTTCAGTATGTCGCACCTGGCAAGGAGGAAAAAGGCGCCAGCCCGGGCACGATGGCTGAGGAAAGTTAGAATATATCTCTCTCTCTCTCGGCCCGCACTGTCGACCGAAAAGTCCTTCTCCTCATGCACGATACACGATATGTGCTTCGGATTATTAATGGCTCGCCATGGTGTGTGTGTGTGTGTATATATGTATCCCCAGGGCTATTGTTGGCGAAACTTGCCGCCCCGTGCCACGGCCTCACCGCCGCCCGGCCTCCTCCCCGCAAGGTCACGGCCGCGTGGAAATCTCTGCTTCCCACCCGGGTCCTGTCTGGTTGGCCCCTCTCGCAGTGGTCCCCTTTTCTCCCCGCCTGCCCACCCCTCCCGGACAGACGAGGGGGGGGGGGGGGGTTCTCATTCTCGGCCCCTGTTCTTTCCAGGCCCCGGGGGGGAGGGAGGGGGAGAGCATGACGAGACACTCCCCGCGCGTGCCTACCCCGGGGAGGGCAGTCAGAAGCAGGAGGAGACCGCACCGAGCGGGCCGGGGACAAACAGATCGCGACACATACTCGCGGTAACCCTGCCCCTCGCGTGTGCGGGGCGGCCAGCATCGGCCGACCCCGCCCGGAGGAGCCTGCCCCGGTTTGCATCCCCCCGGTCCGGCGGGCGCCCTTCGTCCGGCGCATGTTTTCCGGGATTCTAAACCTTCCGCATGGCCGTTATGCACCCGCAGAGGCCCGGAAGGTGCTGACCGCTACATCGCTTTATCGCATCATACGTAGGGCCGCCTCAGACGAGACTTTGCATTTCTCCCGGGCACGAGGCCCCTCCGGGAAAGTATGCAACACCCTCTCAGCCCGGCCGTCGTCCGGCCTGGCACCCCCCTCATGCCTGCCGCCGGAGGATGGCACCCCCTGGCCAATGGCTCGCATGCCTCGGTGCTTGTTCTTGCTGGTGCCCCCCCCCCCCCCCGCCCCACTCAAGAACGCATGGGCGCCGCCGGCGCGCACGAAGAGACACAGCCCGGTTGCCGTCGTCTCACCAAGGCACGCCATGTTCTCCCGCCCCGCCTCCCATCCCTCCATCGCTCGGTCTCTCGGCAGGTCGACCATTAGCATCGGGTGCCCCCTCCGGAAAAGCTGAATCGCCCGTCTGGGGGGAAGGAATATCCTCTAGAGGAGGAGAATGCCAAAGCCACGCCCCCGTCGGGAGGAGGTTAAGCACGCGACGATTAATCGGAACTCCAGAGGTGGGCATTCGCCAGGGGAACCGGGCCCCAAGCATGCCTCGCGAGGGGGCGACACGGAGTAATCTGCGAAGAAGGGCCCAAGCCCAATCATGAACCCATGAGCATGGGGCACATGATCCGAGGAGACGATCCCTATAGATTGGGAATTTGAATTAACGATTGGGATGTTTCTCTAATCTGCATAATGTTATCGGCGGATGGCTCATTACAACCCAGTCCAGATTGTTAATACCTCGTTGGCAGTCCCTTTGCTCATGGGCTCTGGACCCTCGTTCCACAAAGCGAATTACATGTGCTGTTCTCACTCCAGCACAGAGCACGCACTTCAGCCGTATCCCAGGCCCCTTTCTCTCTCTCGCTCTCGCTCTCTCTCTCTCTCTCTCTCTCTCTCAGTCTCTCTCGCACGCACACGCGCACGCACTTCCTGCCCCCCTCCCTTGTCACATGGACTCCGTCTCCGTCCTCCACCCCCAACAACACCAATGGACACACCCCGCCCTCGACATGCCCTTGCTGCTTGCGCGCTCTCCCCCTCACCGTTTGGGCATCGAACCTCCTTTTCGCCGAGGCGAGAGAGAGAGAGAGAGGGCATCTATATTGTGTGCGGCGCGCGCGAGAGGAACAAAGCAGGCTGGCGTGCGCCGGGGGTTTTCGTGTTTTTTTTTTCCCTCCATTGTTCTTCGGCTCTCACTCCTCATTCCTCGAGCCGGTGTGCACGAAAATACACATGTGTGCCTCATGCGGTTTCCAGCCTGAAACACACGCGCCCAGGGGCGAGCGAGAAAAGGGAAGGCCAGGCCAGGGACCAAGCGACAGAGAGAGAGAGAAAGAACACGAAGCGGAGGGAGGGGGAGGGGTAAGAAGGGCTCCCTATGCCTCGAGGGCATGGAGGAGGGGGGGGGGGGAGGAGTGGAGGGGGAGAAGGACCAGGCCGGTTGTTGGACAGGGCCCGCCACTCAGAAGGTCTCCGAGAACACCTCGTAGGAGGCCGGGCGATGGAGGCGGTTGCGCGCGGCGGCGGCCTCGCTCGTGGAGGCCGCGCGGCCGGTCATCACATCCAGCGTGCGCTCGATGGCGGCCTCCTCGAAGCCAGTCAGATACCCGCGGATGCTGGTGTATGCATCGAGCAGGTGAATCTGCGAGGACACCAGCTCGTGCAGGTCCTGGATGAAAGCCACATTCTTCTGGGGGTTGAGCATGATCTGCGAGTAGTGGCAGTCAAGCAGGATGCTGATCCAGTCGAGCAGCTGGTTGACAGTTGGCATGCGGATGTACTGGGTGAAGATCTTCCGCATCTTGGAGGGGTGCACGCGCAGGGTGTTCTGCAGAAGGATGAGCAGTCTCCGGAGGAGCTCCTGTGTGTGTGTGTGTGTGTGTGTGTGTGAGTACTTTTTCATCGACAGGCAGTGGTATTCCCTCTTCCTGCCTCTTCGCCGGGGGCAGCGAGAGGAAGGAGGCAGACACCGTCATCGCGGTCACACGCGCACCTCAACCTGGTCCAGTGCAAGGGTCTTGACGTGCTGCTCCAGGGCCACATCGCTGAAGGCGGCCGAGAAGATCATGGCCCTGGGTTGTTCCACCGAGAGGGAAGAGCGCGAGCCATATGTGTTAGCAGGCGAGAGCACATATCGATCGAATGGGGAGGGAAAAAAATGCACCAGCGGAGGGCCGCCCGTTTTGCCTCTGTCCGCCGCCCCCCCCCCCTTCGCCCCCTCCCAGCACCCATCAGCACACACAGCGCCTCCGAGGCACGCCAAGCCGGCAACGCACTGGAAGAGGATCGACGGCGCAGCCTGGTCAATGGGGAAAGACCGCGCGCTGCGGGAAATGGCCTTGCCGAAGGCCCGGGTGAAGAAGCTGTTGATGATCTGCGCCCCCCGAGGAGTAAGCGAGTACCGGAGCATGGACACAAGGTGCTCCTCGGCGATCTCGGTCACCTTCAGAACCAGCAGATGCAGCAGCGGGGCCTGGTGCGTGGTCAGCAGGCGCTCCACCAGGAAGGGAGCCAGCGCGGTGGAGAAGATCCCCGTGGAGAAGAGGACATCCGCCACGGCGGAGGGGAAGGTGGCAAAGCGCGTCGTGGCCAGAAGCGTAATCTCGTGCAGGGTCCGGTGCGACATGGCCGGCGTCTGCAAAGACGACGGCTGCACCGACCGCGAGTACTCATCTGTGGGCACAAGCGACGTGTGGATGGGGGAAGGCCGAGAAGAAGGGGAAGAAGAAGGAGGACCATCATGGGGAGGAAAGAGCAAGAGAGAGAGAGAGAGGGGGGGGGGGGAGGGACACATGGTCAGCGGCAGGCAGGGTGCGCATGGCCAGGGGGGCAATGGGGAACAGGGGGAAATGAGCAGCACCAGCACTCCAAGCTGACAGGCAGAGCACGGCATTCCGGCTCCGCACGCACCCGGATCATACTGGCGCACATACTGCGGCGAGGCGGTCTGGTTGACGGTGAAGTACTCCAGCAGGATGGCTGAGAAGGCGTCCGCCGACAGGTCGGCCGCCGACAGCCCCTTCAGCAGAGTCTTCTCGCGCTGCTCCAGGGTCGAGCGCGACAGCGACCGGCGGTTGTTCAGCTTGTCCAGCGGGACCGAGTTCATGCCGGGCAGGTGATCGGCATCCAGGACGGAGATGTGCTTGCGCGACAGGTCCTGCAGGCCGAGCGTGTCCAGCAGAGTCGGCGCGCCCGACAGCTGCAGGTGGATGGACGACACCACACCGGAGAGCGATCCGACGGCGGCCAGCGCGCCATGGCGCTGCTGCAGGCAAATGTGCGGCATCTGCCCGGGGGCCACGGTGCGCGCGGACCCAGCCGCCGAGGCCACCTCATCGGTCGGCGTCGGCAGGATGGCATGCTGCACCAGGATCCAATGGGCAGTGTCAAAGACACACAGCATGACTAACGGGGCCGAGGGCCGATCGGTGGGTCAGAGGGGGAGGGAACGCGGTGGCAGGGGGCAGGGCGAGCAAAGGGCCAGCCCGGGGGATATGGACATGGATGGATGGATGGATGAAGGAGGAGGAGGAGCAGGCCAGAGGCGCGAGAGGTTTACGTGGCTGCCAAGGTGGTGCTTCTTTTTTTTTTGCGACGCACGCGCAGTGGGGCTGCTCTGGATGACGATAAACAGCAGGCGGTCCATCTTGCACAGACCGAGATGGAAGGACTTGTTCTTGCGCGAGGCCTGGATACACCGATCACATGCAGGCAGCCATGTGCATGGAGAGGCGCATATGTATGCATATGCGCATGCGCGTGCATGGAAGGGGGGGGGGGCGGGGGGGCGGGGGGAGGGGGGAGGGAAGGGGCGCGACATAGGCCGGAGGCCGGTCGTCAAGGTGTGGTCAGTAGATGGATGCGCGGATGCATGGCCCCTGGCGCCGGCAGCAGGCAAATGGCTCGGGCGAGGACACGCACCGCGGGGGTGTAGTTGTGGGTAGCCGAGTCGAGGATGGCATTCGAAACCTTGGTCGGGGCCAGCTCGCGGACCTTCTCGACCAGGCTCATCTCCCACAGCTGAATGGTTCCATCGGACCCTATAAAGGCAGGAGCGGGGGGCGTTTTGCGGCGAGGGGGAATGGCGCATGCGAGGAGGAGCAGGAGCAGGAGGAGGGGCGGTGAGTCATTTGCAGGGGAGGAGCGCCGGAGCTTCGCACATAGAGGCCAACGTACAGGCCGCCGCGAAGGACCCACTGTCGTACGACGCCGCCGTCAGGGTGGCCGGGGCGACGGACTGTGGGCGACGCCCAAAAGAGCCGGAACAAATGGAGGGATGTTAGAGACAACCGGCCCGGGCCTTTCCCCCTCCCCTCCTCCCTCGGCCCGCCTGCGCAGGCGCGGCCCTTTCATCAGCGCGCACCTCCAGAGTGAACGGGGCGAGGGCCACCACACGGCCGGCGATCTTGCGCCCAGCCGGCACGGTGTAGCCGAACAGATGCCCCTGGCGAGACCAAATGAGGATCGTGGAAAAGTTCGTCCCAGGGATCAGCTGGCAGACAGCCACATCGGCACCAGCCGGGGCCAGGCTCGTGTGCGTGCTGGCCAGGCGGATGGCCGTCGGGGTGCTGGTGGCCGGGTCGGTGGCATCGTACTCCATGTGCATGACATAGAGGGCGCCGGACTTGCCAATGGCAAAGAGGAAGTCCGAGCCCGCCCAGGAGACGAGCTTCTCGATCGGCTCGGGCATCTGTGTTGTGTGTGTGTGTGTGTGTGTGTAGGAGCATCAGTGGCCCGGACGAGGCTGTTAGGAAGGGGGCGGCTCGCAGGGGAGAGGCAAAGGGCACGCGGGGGGGAAGGCAGCGGCCAGGCTGACGGGGCCCGGCAAGGGAAAGGTGATCCTGGAGAGAAAGGACGGCAGAGAGGGGGGAAGGGAGAGAGAGAGAGAGAGGGAAGAACGCACCTGCACACTCGGAGCCTTCTCAAACTCGGCGTTGCCGAAGGACCAGCAGGTGATCCGATCGTCAGAGGTAGCCACCGCAAACAGGCCCGGCTGGGCGACGTGCTGCACCGCATCGCAAGAGAACGACACGCTCGGGGGGATGGCCCACTGGTTGACGCACTTGCGCTCCTGGATGTTATGCAGCAGCACGCCCACCTCGCTGACCGTGGTGATGGTGGCCGCGCCACCGGCAAGGGTCGAGCCGAAGTTCACGCCCCGGATTGACAGCGGGCTGTACTCGGCTAGGGTGACCGGATCGCTCAGGGAGGGAGCCATGTCTTCGTTCTCCGGTGGATGGGTTGGGCGGGGGCTGTGCGTGTGGATGTGTGTGCGTGTGTGTGTATGGGAGGGGGGGGGGTAAAGGAGGTGGAAAGGGAGGGGACGAGAGGAGGAGGAGGAGGGGTGAATGTGTGCGTGTGGGAAGGGGAGAGGGGGAGAAGGAGTGGAGGGAGTTGTTCAAGCCAGACACATCTGGTGCGCGCGAAGGGAGCATCACAAGAACCCTGCTCCTCTTTCCGGACAGGGGGAGGCTCTGGTTGAAAGCACGAAAGGTACGCGGCTCTTCCTTGCCCCCCCCCCC